AAAATTGCCTAGAGACCTCACCTTTCACAACTAACAAAAAGCCCATCTAGGTGACTTCTAAACTAAAGTTCACTTTTTTGTCTGTAAGGAATGCAACATTCTTTTAGGTTTTCTAACAAAAGCTACAGCCCATCCCTAAAGTAATAAATTTTCCTTCCTGTTATAAAAACATACCAGAAAATGTATAGCCAAATGACTGTTGTTCTCTTCAAAGAAGCCCCAGGAGAGGTTATTCACTTACTGAAATGACTTTATCATTACTCGAATTATCTCCCACACACTTTACTAAGAAAAGCAGCTTACTGTTGTGCCTCAGGACATCTTCCTTTGGTCCAATTCCTTTACCTCTGGTTCTGTCTCTCATTCTCACTCCTACATCCATTAATTTAACCAACCAATGGACATGACACTAGGTATGGGAAACAGTCCTAGTATGTAAGATACTCTTAATCCAGAGGGGGTGGTACCAGTGCTACCTATGAACCAAGACATGAGGGCAGTGGGGTTCTGTGATTAGACGGAGCTTGCAGTTAGGAGAAATTTTATCAAGCTGTCACTAGCTTATATGGATACTTTAGGATTGAGAAGGGAAGTTGCCGCCTGCAGGATCAGCAGCAGCACCCATGCCTCCAGTCCAGAGAGATACATGGCCCACTTCTGCAAGCAGGGTAATAATGCTAGCAATGCTGACTCCTTCCTGAAAATACTATACAAGTGTAGTTAATGTTATGCTTAATTCTTAACTGTCCTATATTTTAACTGTTTTTCATTCTTTCATTCAACCAAGAAGTATTTATATTTTCTATGGACTTGAGAACAGCTTCATCTACTGAAAATCACATTCATTTATAACTATGTTCTAGGCATCACATTACAACTAAATGAACAAAGTCAAGAACTGTCTGGTTAATTGTACCTAAGTAAAGCTGAAGGAAAAAAAAATCTATCTGCTGTTATCACAATAACAGAGTTTCCTAATAATAGTTTTGATTCATCAGTAAAAAATTCTGACATATAGTACATTATTATGGAGGGAAGGCAAGAATATAATGCATTTTATAAAGAAAATGTAAAGTAACTCACAAAAGTAATCTATTTGACTCTCTGCATTTGAAGAGTTAATCTTCAGCTATATCAAAGATTCAAATATTTAGAAAGATACTTCTTTCCCCACAAGGATTCCAGAAAGTAGAAGTATACTCCACTTGATAACACAGAAGTCAATTTTCAGGGAACTGAATGTCTTAATCCCGAAATAATTTTAAAATAAATGTCTTCTCTAAATTTATTTATTTTCAGCGTACCATGTAAAATAAGGGAAACTTGCATAAGTGTTTCTTATTGTTCCTCTTCTATTATCTAACCCAATGCTGAACAAGGTTGGGAGATACCCAAAGTGTTTCTTTGGTGTGCACCTATCTCCCCAGCTACTGGACAGCACTTTGAGCCTATGCTATTCTGTGGCTGCTCAAGGCTTCCCTACATCACTACACTGAACCTGAGGACATCTCTTCCCCAACTCGGTCTTCAAAACACAACCATCCTTGATCCTATTCCTTCTGGCATCCAACTACAAATTGGGCTTAATTTCATAAACTAACTCAAGCTAACATTAATTAATGATGATAATAGCTTAATACATTGCTGCTTTTAGGGAAATGTGCAAAAAATAGATGTATAGAAATATAATACTATAATCCACGAGCATGTGTCTTTTTCCAATTTATGGTCACTAACCACCCAAATCTCAAACTAACGTAACAAAGTAAACAAGCATCAAGGGTTATAACTAAAATAAACCAGCTTACATTTAACTTTAGTTTGAGAAAAAGAAGAAATGAGAAAATACTACTTTACATTTGTATGTAATGTTCTTTCATAACATATATATGTATATGTTTTATTTACTTTAATATTTAAAACAATGCTGTAAGTTCATATTATTCCTATTTTATAGATGAGAAAATTTAGTCTCAAAGAGGTTATACTACTATCGAATGGCAGATCAGGGACTCTAAACAATTCTAATTCCAAGTCTAGTGTATTTCCACTAAGCACAGCACAATGTCTCATTTTAAACTAAATAAAAGAAACATGAAAGTATATAAACACAATGATAAAACTACACTTACATTCAACATATGGCCACTTTAAAAAGAAAATGGGAGGGAGAGTGAGCAAGCCTGGCAAGAGGAAAAAGTACGAAAAGACATTATTGGGCAGAAAATGTCAAAGAGAGAAATAGATACGAGAGGGAAAGAAGAAAAAGACAGGGTGTCTGTCTGAAGGGAAGGATGAGGTGAAGTCTGGGCTCCGTGGGTTCCTGAGTCAGTGCTGCTTCCAGCCAACACTGGCTTCACATCTCCAGAGTGGCCTTACTCTGCATTCCTAACCTTGGGCGCCAGTCAAACATCTTGCCCAGTCTAAGCAGTCCAGAGAGCCCGGGGCCAGTATTTGCACACATCCCCGGAGCCCTGACCTTATCTTGGTCAAATCACTGCAATTCGTTTTCTTTTCACTTCCTTAATGACAAAACTAAAAGCAATTTATTTCAGAAATCTCCATTGTCTTCTATCTCTGAGGATTAATGGAGACAAGCACTTACCTGATTGTATCAAAAGTCTGATAGTAGTAACAAAACAACAAACAAATTAAAAGCAAGATTTCCTCTGTTGAAATAGCCAGTGCCCAAACCTGACTTGCTTATACATTTTTTTTACTGAAAAAAATCACTGTTCTAAGTCACATACATAATAGATAAGAAAATGCCTACACGTATTCACCACTTAGGTATCTAGGTTTTTGTTTTATGTAGTTAATTGATTATTTAGGTAAATTAGGTATACTTGTTTTTGAAAATTAGATAAATATCTTATATTACTAGCATTTAACAAGCTTCTTAAAACATTGGTATAATATATTAATAGGTAAAATATTTTATAATATTTTAATAAAAGAATAGGTTTGGGAGATACTGAGTTTGCATCCCAGCTTAGGCTCTTAGTAACTGAGTGATTTTTGGGCAAATTACTTAATATCTTTGAACTTTAGGTTCTTCATCTATAAAATGGGGCTTATAATATAATACTAATCACAAAGGTTGTTTTGAGAATTAAATGACATAAGTACTTAAAACTGCCCAACATGTAGTAACCACTCAACAAATATTATTTATTATTATTATTATTATTAATATTGGCCACTAACCTTGCTTTAATACCTAGCTGCACCAAATTTCATTATAGTATACCCCTCTGCTTTATTAAAAAAAGGTTAAAGTTTCCAGACAAAAATATTAAAGTTCATCACTATTGAACCAATACTACAAGAAATGTTAAAGGGACTTGTTTAAGAAGAAAAGAAAAGATCAAAAACATGAATAAGAAAATATAGGAAAGAAAAGATTCTCACTGACAAAGGCAAACACATGATAAAAAGAGTGGATCAATCAACTACAACTATAAATTAAGGGTACACAAAAACACAATACACATGAAAGAAGTAAAAAATAATGACAAAAACATAAACATGGAGGGGGTGAGGAAAAATTGTAGTGATTTTACAACGTGTTCAAACTTAAATGACCAACTTCAAATAGACTGATATAAACATACCTTGGTATATAGAAAACACTAGGTAACCACAAACCAAAAATCTACAAGAGATCTACAAGAAATAAAGAGATAGGAATCCAAACACAATACTGTAAAATCATGAACACACAAGAAAAGAGAGCAAGGGAGTAAGAAAGGAACAGAGAAGTACTATAAAAACAATCAGAAAACGATACCTATTTTTATACACCAATGGCAATAACTACCTACCTATCAATAATTACTTTAAACATAAATGGACTAAATGCTCCAATCAAAACATATAGTGCAGCTGAATGGATAAAAAAAACAAAAAAACAACAAAAAAAAGACCCATACAGACATTGCATACAAGAGACCTACTCCACATAGAAGGACATAAACAAACAGAAAGTAAAGGGATGGAAAATAATATTTCATGCAAATGGAAATGAATATAAAGCTGGAGTAGCAATACTTATACCAGACAAAATAGACTTTAAAGCAAGGGTTGTTATCAAGAGACAATGAAGGGTATTTCATAATGACAAAAGGATCAATCCAACAAGAGGATAGAACCCTTGTAAACTTCTATGCACCCAATGTAGGAACGCCTAAATATGTAAAGCAAGTACTGATGGACATAAAGGGAGAGGCTGACACTAATACAGTCATAGCAGGGACTTTACCATCTCATTGACATCAATGGATAGATCATCCAGACAGAAAATCAACAAGGAAACAGTGGCCTCAAATGACACAGTAGAGCAGATGGGCTTAATTGATATTTTCAGGGGATTTCACCCCAAAATGGCAAAGTTACATTTTTCTCAAGTGCACATGGGACATTTTCCAGAATAGAACATATTTTAGGCCACAAAACAAGTCTCAATAAATTTAAGAAGACTGAAATCATAGCAAGCATCTTCTCTGACCACAATGGTATGAAACTAGAAATCAATTACAAAAAAACCCTGAAAACTGCACAAACACATGGAGGCTGACTAACATGCTACTAAAAATTGAATGTGTTAACCATGAGATCAAGGAAGAAATCAAAAGATACCTGGAGACAAATGAAAATGAAAATACAATGACCCCAAATCTATGGGACACAGCCAAAGCAGTTCTAAGAGGAAACTTTAAGGCAATACAGTTCTATTTCAAGAAACAAAAAAAATCTCTAATAAACAATCTAACCTTAAAGCTAAACGGGCTAGAAAAGAACAAACGTAGCCCAAAATGAGTAGAAGGAAGGAAATACTAAAGATCAGAGTGGAAATAAATGAAGTAGAGTCTAAAAAAAAAGATTAAAGTGCTTTTAGAAGTTTTAGAAAACAGTGTATTTTTAAATAATAAACAGTAATAACAAATTAAAGTCAAATATTGACAGTCATATATATTAAAATTGAAAAGCAGATAGTTTACCTCAAAGTCTATCAGTTGGAGGTCTGCTATCAGCGTCACCAGCAGCCCACTATTGTAGAGTTCTTGTGCTAGCTGTGCCACAGCCTCTGTTGGGGGTTCCTTGTCATTTGTACCACACAGAATTTCTTTCATTGCTTGCAGTGATTTCGACACTTCTTCTGAAGCCTAGTGACCAAAAAGTATGCTAAGATTTAAGAGAATAAAAATTTTCAGGCTATAAACAAACAAACAAACAAATAAACACCACTTCTTAGGCCCTGTTTATGATCAAAGAGCACTGTACAGTTATAAACAAACAAAAAACATTTAGTAGGCACTCCTTTTTTATTTTAAAAAACTACTAGAATTTATTTATATAAAAAAACGCTAGTATTTCTACTTAGTCAACATAACTGAAACAATCTTCCCTTAAGCCATTAATTCTAAATTTAACTCTTGAAAATTAAATTGACTCCATTTTAAAGACTTACCAGTAGCTACTAATTTTTATTTAAAGCATTTGCTAAGGTTTTTCAACAAAACCCTATTCTGATTTTTAATGGACTAGGTATAAAATCATATGTTGTCAAAACCCATAAGCTTTCTTTGTCGATCCACTTTTCCCTCACATATAGTCATTATCTTTTTTGCTATTTATGAAACTTAAAAAAAAAAAACCCAACAAGAAAACACCTCACTACATTTAAAGAATAATAGGAAAATCCACAGCGGTAGAAAGTAGACTTGTGCCAGGATCTGGGGAGGGGAGAATGAGGAATGACTGCTAACAGGTACAGGGTTTCTTTCTGGGGCGATGAAAATGTTCTGGAATTAGATAGTCGTGATGGTTGCACAACTTTGTAAGTATACTAAAAATCACCGAATTGTACAATTTAAAATGGTAGATTATATGGTATGTGAATTATATCTCTATAAAATTTTTTAATTAACACTGGTGAGAAGAGGAGAATAGGCCAATTAGTTAACAATTTGATTTGTTGACTATTTTAATAGAAATATACCATAGTTTTATTTTAAGTAGAGTACTCTAATCATTATAATTGAAGATGGGAATAAGAATAAAGCAAAATAATTAAAAATAATTCATGGTTATGGATACTACTTAAAAAAAATAATTTCCAGATACATTTTATGATCTGAGAAGCAAACCTTCATTTATCAAGGGTTGGAAGTTTTTTAACTTACCCACAGAAGAGTACTTTAAACATATATAGAGAGTTAAAATTTTTTATAATAAAATATAAAATTTTTATAATTATATAAATTGCTTTATAATTATAAAGCAAACACTTGTGTGACCATAACACTGGTCAAGAAATAAATATTTTTAGTACCCCAGAAGTTACCTAAATGGCCCTTTTCCAGCCTAGAAGTAAATACTTTTATGTCTTTGTATTTACTTTGTATTTATTTTTCTTTGTAGTTTTCTTACCTATGTTTACATACCAAAACAATATAGTCTAGTTCTGCTGATTTGGAATAATACACCTGTACCCTTTTTTTTTTTTGCTTCTTTCACTCAACACTATAGTTGTGAGATTCATCCATGCTGCTGCATGTAGGCAGCAGTTATTTAGTTTTCATTGCTCTATGGTATTCCATTGATGGCAGGACCACAACTTCAGGATCAGTTCTACCACTGACAGGCACTTGGGTTGTTTCCATTGAGGGTTTATTATGAACAACACAATGCTATGAACATTCTTGTACATGCATCCTGGGAAAATATCGAAGAACATCTCTAGAGTTTATATCTAGCTGTGAACTGCAGGATTTTAGAACATGCATACCCTCCTATCTAACAGATATTGTAATATCCTAAACTGGTTTCCAAAAGCCAACAATGAATGAAAGTTCTTACTGCTTTCCATACTTGTCAACACTTAATACCATCAGACCTTTTTCATTTTTGCCAAGGTACACATTGTGTAATATGAATATAATGTGGGTTTAATTGGTTAGCCTTTTCCTGGCTACTAATAAAAATGACTATCTTATGTTTTTTTTAAATTTTTTCCTCTCTTTTGTCATTTAGATTTACTTTTTTATGAAGGTCATTTCTTTTTTCTATTTGGACCAATATTTGGCTTGCTATTGCAAAGTACATTGGAATTAAAAATATATTTCTACATTACTTATAAGATGTAGGATGAGAAATATATTTCTACATCCTCACAAGAACACAAGATGGTATCACAGATTGAGACAGAAATATACTATGCACTCAAAGGTATTTCTTTTATGGATTTCTTGAATCTTGCCATAAACTAGTAGCTTTAGAGATAAATCAAATATGTAGAATTCAACATCCCTTCAAGGGAATAACTAAAATACCAAAAAGACATTCCTATGAGGAAGCTCTGCTTGGTAGGACCTTAAAATAATGTTAAAATGAGGTTGCACTGCAGTAGAAACTATCAGTTGATCTTTAAATAAAATTTTTTTACCTCTCTTGCCAGTATGACATATATACCAGTATAACACCTTAGATTTTTAAGCTATGTAGTCCAGAGGGATCCAAGGTTGGTCAGAGGCTCTAGGTAGTAAAGCAAGAGTTCAAGACAACAGATTCAACAATTATTAGCTGCATAAAACGTGAAATCAATTTAAATGTATTTACAGAGACCCTATGTATCCCATCACAGATGTTGGTTTTTGGTCTTGGAATACATGTATTTTAATAATAATGTTATTGTTTTAGCTCATACCTTGTCTGTCTTTTTGTCTTGCTTTTCCAAAATGGCTAAGTTGTCTTTCAGAATTTTCACGATTTCTGCTGGATTTTTGTGTGATTTACTAAACAAAGGCATTTTTTTCATCTATAGAAATCTCTTCTTCCAATATAGAATGCTAAAAACAAACAAATAAGCAAAAAAAAGCATGAATTTAACTCTTATCATGATTAAATTGTTACACTAAAATGTCTTATAAGTTTCAGTAACCTCGGTTCAGTAATATAAAACATTAAAATTGATCAAACTAAAATAAGTTCTGAGTTTTATGCCAAATTTAAATGCATACAAAATATTTTTAAAACTTTACCTAAAAGCTTTTCCTCAAAGTTTAAATTTTTTCCTATAATAGAAATACAAGGATTATGCAAGAATGGGAAATGGAGTGCTTTTAGAGAATAAACTGATATTTAAAACTAGGTATTTGACTAAAAAAGTAATGATGATGGTGATGATGATAGATAAAATAATAAAACATGTAAAACTAAAGTGGCATTAAGATCCACATACTGTGGTAAAGCAATATTTAAAGCATGCAACTCCATAGCAATCACAAAATTGCAATGTAAAATTATTTAGAATCTGTTCTTTGTTTCCTTACAATATTCAGCTGACCATACTCACTGATGCAATGAGGACTACTATGATGGAGGACAAGGAGAGCAGGGAAAGGAGTATCAATCCTTATTTTGAGAACATCTATTTACATAGAGCACAAAAAGCTAAATAGGGCTGTCATTGCCCTATTTACACTAAAACTGTGAGTAGTCGGGAGAAAATCTTTCAATTAAAGGCTCCAGTTATTTGAGCCATATTCATTTACTTTACATTTAGGAGTAAAAATATTGCATGCCTTACAGAAATATGATGTAATAAATCAAAGGTTCCCATTAACCAATTACCTGGAGAGGACAACTATTATGAGTTTGGTATATATTCCTCCTAAATTTTTTCCATACATATAAAAATAAATATATTTTAAAACAAAAATAGAATAGTACAAAATATAGTATTTTGTAACTTTTCCCTACTTTTAATATCTTGAATATCATTCTATAAGTGCATGTTTAAATCTACAATATTTTTATATTGTACATTATAATTTTATATAGATACATTACATAAACACATTATATAATTATTATTCAGCAAGTTCTTATTAAATTATAATATATTTTACCAATACCCTACTGAGGGACAGTTGGGTTAATTCCATCTCTCCTAATATTTTTCTTATTAATAATGATGCAATTCAACAATGAAGAATATTATACATAAATGTGTAGACACAAACATATGCACCAGTTGATAGCAGCGCTTGAACCAGGTATTCCGTAGCATAACCTTGGCTATGATTCTAAATTTCTCATCCCCCAAGATTCCTACTCCCTAAATCTGGTTCCCTAGGATTTGTTAGATCTATGAGTGACCTTATATCCTTCCAATAAATTCCTTCAGTATTGTATGTGATCAAGAATTCCAATGGATACATATATGTTATGAGGGGAAATCAAAACTGTTGGTATAAATTTTTATGATAAACAGACTTAAAAAGTGTTTCATGTTTTCAGTATGGATGCCTCAACCTCCCAATGTAAGGAGTGTAAGGGGGAACTGGTCCATTTTCAGGGCAAGGATAAGTTGCAAAGCACGTTAAAGGACCCCAGTCAGCCTCTAAAGCTGATTCTGAAAGTTGACAGAACACCCAAAGGTAAAGTATGTGAAGATCACACTGTGAATCTCGCTGGGTGGTATAAGGTACAAAAACCAAAGCACTGGAAGGACATTGTGTGTTGTCCCTTGATAAGCCTCAAAAATAAAGTTATAGACATGCATTGGGTTTTTCTTTAATAAACATAAATAATTAAAGGCAGAGAGTATTTAAAAGTTTATGTAATGTGGAGGTGGGGTGGGTGCTAAAACAATCATTGGATACTTGGGCAGAGCAAGCAATCTGGTGCTTCGTACCTGGGTGAACTTGGGCACAGTGTTTTATCTCTCTAAGGCTTGGGCTCTTATCTGTGAATGAGGACAATGACATCTCCCTTTTAGGGTTGTTGTGAGGGTTGAAGGTATGCAGAATACCTTGCACAAGTGAGATACTCTATAATGTTTAGCTGCTATTATCACAAAAGTTCCATGACAGTTAAAGAGTTATTTCACTATAGAGAAAGGCATAGTAATTGAGATAGAATTTTTTCTTAATTAAGTATCCTAGACACTTCTGGCTCCTTGAGTCACTTACACATTTTAAAAATATATATATGAATTTCTTTGAATGTTAAATATTCGATGTTCAAATATCTAGCATTAAAAAACTTTTACAGGCAAATGCATTTGTGTAATTGTTATTTTTCTCCATGTAGTTCTACTGCACTAACAAAAAGATAGTCAACTGTAGGAATTTCAACTACCGGTAAATACATACTCCCTGACATCAAAACAGTACAAATTATGGCATGGTATCATATGATATGACATGATTTATGTCCATTACCTATTGCTCTGCTTCGTTCTCACTGTGACAAGCTAATTCTAATACTAATTCTACTAAAATTACAAATGTTTTCAGGATATCCATGTTAATATAATAGTTAGCCAGCATTTCCTGATTCATTACCTCATTTGCCTATTGGTTTGTTCATTTATTCATTCACTTGCTCACTGAACAAACAATGTAAGTACTAAGCACAGGCACCTTGCTAGTACTAGGGATAGAGCCATGAACAAAGAAGACACAATCCCTGCTCTTTGGAGCTTATTATTAAGTGGAGACAGCAAACATTTTAGAAGCAATGGGATTATATAACAGAAGTAATTAACACACAGTATATATAATGCCTCTAAATCAGTATTCCCTTTTTTGAATTATTTTCCTATTTTATTTTATTATTTTTTGTTTGTTTGTTTGTTTGTTTTTTTGTTTGTTTTTAGCTGAGCCATCCTGCTACCTGTTGGCAGCTCAGCGGCTGCTCAGCTCGGGCTGGACTCGAACCGCTGTTGCTCAGAGNGAACCGCTGTTGCTCAGAGCTCAAACTCTTGAGCGAGCTCTTAACCAACTGAGCCACTCGGCCGGCCCTTATTTTCCTATTTTAAATGCACCTATTTACTATAATGACTATAACATAAAATTTGTTTAATAATGTTTTAAAATTTCATAGGATCATTATTCTTCAATACTGGGACCCATATTTTGAGGGAAATCAAAACCCATGCTCTCACACTATGCAGTTCCAGATTCCCTACCAATTAATGTGCAACGCTACTGCCTGTGTTCTCTTTAGACCACGGCCAGCCCCACCCCACCCCCAGACTGAACACCTGCCCCCATAATCTTCAACTTGGGGCTACCCTTTCTACCATCTGGACAACCGGGCTGGTCACTGCATGTCTAATCACATCAATTACCCCACCTGTCATTTAAGAAATGAGCCAACTGGCACTCGACACTACCTGCTAACCAAACACGTGATTCTTAAACCCCCCTCTAGTTCTGAGTTGGTAACTGATCATTATTATACAGAAGTTATCACCCTTCTCTGGGTATCTGTCTGGGTATTTATCTGTAAATTGAGGGTTTTTTTTTCTCTTTTTCTGAGTTTAACTGTGAATTCACTCAGTCATTATCATTTAACTTATATTTTTCCATTTCATTCATGGAGGTATCAAGAAAAATTTTGCCAAATGTTTTGGGAAAGCCTAGACACATTATATTTATTTGTTAATGCTTATTTTATTATTACATCTCCATGACTTATTAATTTTCTAACTGGAAGTTTGTATGTTTTGACTCCATTCACTCATTTCATCCATTCCCACCCCCTGCCTCTGGCAACCACGAATCTGTTCTCTAGATTAATAAGCTTGGTGTGTTTTATTTGGTTTTGTTTTTTAGATTCCACTTATAAGTAAGATCATATGGTATTTGTCTTTCTCTGTCTGATTTATTTCCTTTAACATAATGCCTTCAAGTTCCATCCATGTTGTTGCAAATAGCAAGATCTCATTCTTTTCAATGGCTGAATAATATTTCATTGTTTGTTTGTGTGTGTGTGTGTGTGTGTGTATACACACATTCATTCATCAATGGACATGTAAGTTGTTTCCATATTTTCACTATTGTAAATAATGCTGCAATGAACACATATATATATGGTAGTACATATATCTGAATTAGTGTTTTCATTTCCCTCAGATGAATACCCAGAAGTGGAACTGCTAATTCTATTCTAAAAATAGAATTCGAATTGGTAATTCTATTTTTAATTTTTTGAGGAACCTCTATACTGTGAGAGGGGGTTCTTAAAGACAGATAAAACATCATATTTTTAAATTATATAGGCTATACACAGTGGGCTCTAGGTTATTCAGTGCTTGTCCATAGTCATTCTGTGTCTTTAACTCCTCGTATCCCTCATGGTCAAAGCTAAAATGCTTAAGGTAGAAACAAAAGGAATGAAGGAGTCCTAAAAATGTTGCCTTCTGGGGATAAAGTGGTAGTACTCATTTTTTCATAAAATCTATTTCAGAGTTTTTAGAACTACATTATGTTTCAGCAAAGCAGGAAGCAGGGACAAGAGAAGACACCATGTTATTCCAACAGGCTGACATTGGATGAATGCCTCCTGGGCACGGAGAACCGTGTTGGGGCCTCACACATCCACCTGCCCTCTAGCATTAGTGCTGACAGTGGGCCACACAGCACACAAATGTCTGGGACTGATGCTGGCCCTGTTGTACTTTTCCACTTTCAAGAGTGAATAAACAGAATAAACAAAATAAAACGTCGGCTCTATTTAAAGAAATAACAAAGCAGCACAAGAAATGGGAGAAAAGCCCTGTGGACTTGGACAGGAAAGGTTGCTTCCAAAATTAAAATTAATTCTCTGTAGGAGATAGAATAGACATAATTGAAAAAAAGAAAAGGATTTAGACAAAGAGAGAGCGGGTCAAGATAAAATATCAAAAACACATACATATACACACATATACCCCACCCCCCACCCCCGCCCCAATGTAGCACAATCCAAATCTGTGTAGAGCAGAAATGACCAGATAGAAAATTAATTGAGGACAACAGAAAGGTACAAAATTAGTCAGTTTACATTTATTCATTTA